ACTTAAAACACCAACTTTAGTCTTCAGAACGATAGAAGTATTTTTGTGCCTAAATTACTTCAGTTCTGGTAATTTCAAAAACTTCCCGTAACGTTCGCTAACAGCTAGCCAGGGTATACAAGTAATGATCTGTTAGCGAAAGTAATAATCAACGATGTGTCAATGAGAAAAGTTCCGCGGAGGGGAGGTGGGGGAAGGCAGGGGGCAGTGGCATGACCCTAATACTTCCTCGGATTTATAGTTTCTGCTGCACAAATGTTCATTACTAATCATATAATATTTAAAGGGACAAAGTTGGAAAAAAAAATGCATGCCTAACAACATATTCAAGATTATTTGCTTCACAGAACTGGCGCGTGATATCCGGTCCGAACTGACAGCCAACACCGCGTTTCGAAGCCGAGACGCCATTCGAGTACTGCGGGTCCGACCATAGCAATTCACACATTATACCTGAAACACATTCTAAACTTCAGAATTCATAACGGCCCTTACAGCACCTCACTACTGCTTGAAACTCGCAGCCACAACTCGTTTTACTTGACGAGCCATTCCTGAATGGAGACTGAAGTGTTTCAGCCGTTCCAGCAAGTGTTTCAAGTGTTCCAAGTGAAGTGTTCTGTGTTCTAAAGTGTTCTGAAGTGTTCCAACAAGTGTTTCTGAAGTGAAGCGTCAAAAAAAATTTTCCTGCAGTACTTTAGCTAACTGCATTGAGGAAGTTCTCACTTTTGATAGCACTCAAACCTCGTGGTACAGCAGAGTCTAAATCCAACACTTAAGGGCACATTCGTTTTGCAAAAATTAGAAGAATTTGGCGACACCAGCTTTATCCAAATCTGTTTAATTTTTTTTTTGGCACCTTTTTGCAGCCGTGAATAATCGCTTGAAAAAATTGCTAGGAAATCTGTACAAAAAACAGTTTGTTATATAACGCAGTTGTACAAAAGAAAAATTAATGACCCATCCGGAAACCATCAGGCAGAGACGTATGACGCAGTGGTGTCGTGCTATTATAACGTTGAAAAAAGTTACTTAACTTAAATGCTTACCTTCTTCAGGTGGTTGACGAACACGGTCTGTATTTCGAATATCATCCATTGTAACATTGTCCTCTTTGAAGAGGCCACCGTGGCAGACCTGAAACAATGTTCACAATTTAAAGAGCAAAAAAAAAAGTGGAGAAAATTTCTGGCTCAAGAAAGGATAACGCTGTACGTGCTTTCCATCGTAAAGATAGGTAAATGTGAAGCGCAAAAACGAAGTCGTTTTCAAATGACATTCAGGTAAGGCGCAACAAAACAAGTCCCTTTAAGAAAAAACTGACTTAGAGACGGCAAGAACATTGAAAAACATTCAAAAAACTGATAAAAAAAGTCCCAAGCAAAAAGTGGGACTTATAAACCTCTATGTGGAGAGAGGAGATAATTCAAAAAGTTAAGTGAATAGGCACAGGAAAGCAACTAAAGATGCCGGAGAACTATTGAATTAATGAAAAACTTCAATTAAAAAAAAAAAGGAAAAAAGCTTCCGATTAAGTATGAAAAGAAAA